CCCCGCTCGCCGTCCTCCGGAGGCGCGGACCGCGATCGACCCAGGCATGCTCCATGACGTTGGCCCGGCACGCCAGCAACCAAATAATGGCCGCAACCGGGGATGATGCCACTGCAGGTGGCGGAAGCAAAGCGAGACGTAAGTGTCGGCGCAGCGCTATCTGCATAGCCTCACCCAAGTGCATGTTTCCCGGCCTGTGTTTGTTTCTGTCACAGGGAGCGGTCCTGACTCGGGGTTTGCTCGCGGACAACTGCGTCCAGCGGGAGCACATCGGCCCAAGAGGCCCACCGAGTGCAACCCGCTCAGGATCGCGGGGATACCGGCTGTTTGCCAAGACGCACGTGCAGCGCGCCTCCGATGCACACGAGGAACGTTTCCCACATAGCTGCATCATGTGCTGCCGCATACCCGGCTACCTCCGTCGCGGGAGGGTGCGCAAGGCGTGGTTGGCCGAAGGCGACGTGCAAACGGCGAGGAGCAGCCGGTCACATGCCGCACGGCCATCGCAGGAGACGACAACTGCTCAGGAAAGCACTCCAAGGCTGCGCGAACATCGCGAACTTGGGTGGCCAGGGCGTCGGTGCCGGAGCGGGCAGGTGCGGGAGCCATTTTGTTTTCTTCGTGGGATCAAGGGGGTTTCCAGTCCGGAGCGCGTCGTACGCAACGATTCAATGGAGGGTCTGCGATGTACGCTACGAGTTTCCAGTCAGACGCCCGCGAATTGCACTGATGGTTTCACTTCCGCATTCAATTCCAGTCATATAATTTCTTCTGACACTTTTGTCCGTCCGCCGCAAAGTCGCTGCCAATAGGCCTGTACGGCGGCGCCGCCAGGAGGTCTCCCATGCAGAAGTCAACGCTGTCACTGGCGTCGACGGGCCGCACCGCCAACTCCGGCAAACTCTGAGCTGGCTATGGGCGTGCGCTCGCAACCGCGGTGCACAAGTGCGGGCGCCGCGGCTACCCTTGCCCGCGGAGCTCGGTCCCAGGCACGAGCGCGAGCGATTCGTCGGAAGGGTGCCAACGACGAATGGCTGTCGAAGTGCCCACCAACCTCGAGTCGACGACCACCATGCGGCAACGACCTTTTGCCAGCCATCTGCATTGTGCGTTGTCCACTACCCACCAGCAAAACATGCGACAGGTGTGACCACCGCGTTGAAAAAGTATACGCGGCTCCATAGGGATACAACCCGATCTGGAAGTATCCAGCCTTTTGACAACGCCCTGCAAAACCTTTCGAAACGACTGATACGTGGTATGCAATGTCCAAACCATGCTGTCTGGAACCAGCTGCTGATAGCACGCATCCAAGCCCTTTGTGGGTTGTCTTCGGCGGCAACACGTGTATCCGCTGGCCATCACGTGTGTGATATGTGTGAACGTGTGGTGGCAGTGGTGCTTCAGTTCTAAGCATTACCGCTGAGAAGCTGAAATTTTGCAAAAATAGCAGTATGTCATCTGCCAATCATAAGCCAAGCAATCGCGATGGACCATGGTGGAATTCGTGGTATCAAACAGGAAAAGCACACACATCGTACACACCCTTTGCAAGGTGGCATCCAGTCTTGCCCCCAGCTCTTTTGAAAGAGCGCGCAATCAACAAGATTATTTGCATCAGTGGCAGCTTCATTTCCAACATGTGACAACTGTCAATGCAAAAGTTTCTGTCGTGCGCGTTATGCTCGTGCACGCCGTCGGGTGCAACGCCTTCGTGCAAGCCGAACTTGCAGCCATAACGTGCCCGCCCCCGCTTTGCAGTAGAACTGCAAACCGCACTTCGCCAATGTGAACTTGGCAAAAACTCCTGGTTGTGACAACATTCCTTATGAAGCGCTCGCAATTGATTACTGCTGGTGGCACAGTGCAAAAATGAATTTTCTGGAGCTGTGTCGCGTCAATACTTGTGTCCCTTCCGTCTGGAAGCATGGTATTGTCGTTCCTCTTGCAAAAAGTGCAAACTCCACTGACCGGAACGATGACCGCCCCATCACGCTGACATGCTGCATTGCCATGTTGTTGGAGCGGTTGGTCTTGAAACGGGTCCGTCATGGCATCGATCCACGCTTGGATGAATGCCAAGCAAGGTTTCGATACGGTTCAGATGTCCAAGTGTACGCTCCCTTGGAGACCCTTCGTTTGCGCCGAGACGTGCCTACTTTCTGTGCTTTTTCAGACATACGTACAGCGGTTGACGTCGCATGGCGTGATGGTGCCATGTTGCGATTGCACAGGGGTGGTGTCGCGCATGCCCTTTGGCATTCGATCGACGACTTAATCTCAGATCGCTCAGCAGCTGTAGGTCTTGATTCACAGTTTTCTGACACGTGGGATCTTGAAGATAGTATGGGTCAAGCAGCAGTTCTCAGTGGTTTTCTTTTGAACATTTTGATCAATGGCCTTGCCGCGGCAACTAAGAGAGCATGCAACGGGGTCTCTTGTGGTTTGTTGGGGGAAACTGTAAGAGTGAAAGTTTGCACAAGGTCCATGAGTTCCGACTGTGAGCCCGCGGTACTCGGGAGTCAGGGATACACGAAAGAACGTCGCGCTTCAGCATCGAAACGACGGCAGACCTCGACGCCGAGGACAACGCGTCTGCATCGGCGTAATCGGTGGAGCTAGGTTTCGTGGCAGTCGCGACGGCCGGCAGCTCCCCCAGAAGCTGTCGAGCCATGTACTCCAATATGCTTGCAGCATGCATTCACCCGCGACATTCGCAAAAAGGTGAGCGCGGAAAAATTGGACAAGCGGGCTGATCGCGCATCGGTGCTTCCTCTGACTGCACCGACAATGCGGATTAAGTAGTCCGAGCACAGACCTGGGAGTAGTTTTTGGCAGGGTCTCCGGAAAGAAAACACTTCTTGCTCTGATTCCGCTCCGAGAGTTCGCCTCCCCGTGTTGTCCAAGGAGGAACGCGGGAAAGCGCTCGCTTACCCTCCTGTCCAATAGACGTTGCCAGAAGAAGCAAGTCGACGCTCCAAGATCCTGAAAGCATGACTGCCGCCATGGATCCTGCCGTTTCGGCGATGACTATAAGCTAACTTTGAGCGGAAGCAAGCTAGGTGATTTCAATCTGAGAATCCCACAGTCCGTCCCAGAATTCATCATAGGCAGACTTGGCATACTTGGCCTGCCACATGTTTTGGTCGTGTGAAAAGATGGTGCCCGAATCGGACAAGACCAAGCATCCTGCCCTGAGCATGTCAAGAGTCTCAAGCCGATACTGCGAAACCTGCGCATCAGAGACCATGGTCACAGCATTGATTGTCAGCACGCAGATGGCCTTCTGCATGAAGCCCTTCAGCAACCTCGATCAAGCAGCCAGCAACTTCCTGAAAATTTGTCTGCGCCGAAGTATGGTGAGGTCTGCATGGCAACTCGGTGGAGTACGTCGAGATTTTGATGTTGTTTTGCCCCACAAGTGTTGCGATATCTTGACCTGACAAAGGCCATCTTCAGCAAAGGAAATCAGATGCAACCAAGAAAACTAGAAACACATCCAAGTCAAAGGCGTCGCTCCTCCAAGCCTTGCTGCGCAGCTTCCGTTACAGCCTGAGCTCCGCGCTGCACCGATTTCCGCTTGTTTTGCCCAACCGCCAGTGCCTCCGACTCCTTGAGCATCATCTCAGACTCTGTATGGGACAGTGCCAGTACACTCATCCACTGTTCCATGTCCTGACAGCAAGCGTGACTTTCGTGTCTGGGATGGCAAGCATCGTTTAAGTCAAAGTAGTGTCCACTCATCTTGGTATTACTTCCACGGCCGGCAGAGCTGCAGGCTGCTGAATAGACTGGACACTAGAATCCAAGAAACTGTCAATGTGTGCGCTTAGGCAGCGATCCGATTTGGGGGAGACTGTGTGACAGCTGGAAGGTAAAATAATGGCAGGCCTCTCAACTCTGTGTTGTCTTCTACCAACATTGCTGTGTTCTCTGCCTTGGCTGCTTCAACACGTTCTCCCACACGGACTTTCGAAAACAGCCGCGAAACCTGCTCGTGGGACAGACACTCCGCGACAAATGCTTCGTGGGCACCAAGCCTGGACTTTGCACAAGTCGAGGTTGAAGTCCGTCGTGCTTTCTGGCATCAGCCATGCTCACCAAGGAATGGCAGCAAAAACTGTCCGGCGGACCGGTGAGCAGATCGTCCAGAGCAAACTGAAGAAAGTTATTCTCTCCGATGGTCGTAGCACCCTGCTGCTCATCCTCACCTGAACATGTGGCATAGAATCGTAGGAGTCACATTTACGATGCATGTATGACGAGTGTTTACCTCCCAGGTGCTGAGGCACTGCTGCGAACATCATCGTCTGCTTCTTCCTGCACAACTACCTGCCACAAGATCTTGCCAAGATGGTCAAGGCTTTGCGAACTTCATATTTCATTCGGAGCCTTCCGTGCTTCATGTACGACGACTTCCTGCCCAACGCTATGATCAGAAACCACTCACTGCAGTATGTGACTTCATATGTGAGCTCTCCGAATACGGCTGCAAGGCAAACCAACCTTCGGAACTTGTGCTACCGGTTCGGTCCTGACAGGGGCAAGTCTTTGTGACTATTATCGATTGACGTTAACCAGAACTCTAATGTTGTGAGTGTGGCTGCCGTGGGGACGATATAGAATCCTGAATTAATAAAAGCTAATTCAAAGCTAAAAAAAGCTAACCCAGCTGATTCTCCGAACCGAAAAAAAAGCTAAAAAAACGCTACCGGAAAGCTAGCCGACGATTCCGGTGAACCTGGCAATGCTAGAAAAAAACTAAACAAAAGTTAACCTTGTTTTAGCTTTTTAATAGGAATCCTATTAAAAAACTAAAAAAAAAAAGCTAAAATCCTTGATTTCCTTTGAATTTCTCCTTAAAATCCTAGAAAACACCTTGAAATCCTAGATTTTAGCTTTTTTTTAGCTGTTTTTTAGCTTTTTTTTTAGCTTTTTAAGAGGAATCCTGATTAAAAGCTAAAAAAAAAAAGCTAAAAAAAAGCTAAAATCCTCGATTTCCCTTGATTTTCTCCTTAAAATCCTAGAAAAACACCTCGAAATCCTAAATTTTAGCTTTTTTTTTAGCTTTTTTAACAGGAATCCTAATAAAAAGCAAATAAAAACCTGAAAAAAGCTAAAATCATAGATTTCTCTTGGATTTCACTTTAAAATCCTAGAAAAACATCTCGAAATCCTAGATTTTAGCTTTTTTTTTAGGTTTTTTTTAGCTTTTCGAGGTCGCAGAAAACAAAGAGCAAAACCTAAAAAAAAGCTAAAAAAATCCTGCCATGTTTGACGGGCGATCGCTTCATTCCTAAAAAAAACCTAACAGAATCAGGGCCTAGTAAACGGGCCCTTAATTAAATCCTAACCCCGGCGCGGCCCTTTCCTTTCTTTGCCGACTTAGCCAACCCAGTCGGCCCCAGCCCGGCCTCCCAGCCCCAACACCACCCGCTAGCCAAAGCCCAGCCACTGGCACTCGCACTGCCTGGGTTTTAGTTACTAGTTTAGTTTACTTAATTTAAGCTCGGCACATACTGTATCATTACTTCTTGGGCCCGTCTGCTGAGTGCATTCCTTTCTATTTCATATGTCATATATCATTCTGTCTCGAGAATCGGACAAAACCCCGGAAAGCTTTGGGGAATTGGCGACAAGGACGACTAGTGACTAGTGAGTAGAGTAGTGATTAATGATATGTCATATGATGATTGGTGACTAGTGATTTAGTGAAACTTACTGGCAGACATCTTAGTCTTAGTTGATTGGTTACTAGTGCCTAGGGGCCTAGTGACCAAGTAAATAAGTAGTGACTAGGATCCAGAACTTGTGAAACACATTGTGATCATTATCATGATTATATCCAGGACCATGACGGTGGTAATACCTGTGGCCCTGTGGTGTAGTAGTAGGGCTTGTGTAGTGTAGGGATCCATTGTTGACCACGAATCTGTCTTCGGTCAAACTCGATTAATGATGAGGAGCAGGCTTAGTTACTAGTCACTAGTCTTGCGATGATACTGATAGTAACAGGCCAGGCAGTGGTACTGAGTACTGGTACCTTTTTTAGTCATGTTAGTGCTGCTGCAGGTAGCCAGGTAGCCTGTGGTGTAGTGTAGTTAGTGAGTGTAGTTCTTCAATCGCCACCAGGGTAGCCACCGAGGATCCGGTAGATTTGTCTGCTCCTCGCCAGGAACCGCGGCAGCGGGTGCAGCAGCAATCCACAGGCGGAGCTTCAGATGCACTGAAGTGGAAGCAGCAGAGCATGTCATGGAGGGCAAACCTTAATGTGTCTGGTGATGCTGCTCCGTGGACCAGTCGGCACTGCCAGCCCGGGCGTCCCTGGACGGAGAGGACTCTGGACCTCGTCGATTGCGTCGCCATGGACGTGTGCAAACAAGCAGGAGTGAGGCTCGGCAACATGGCACGTGTCATGGAGCGGCACCTGGACAGTGTCATCGCGGACGTGAGCCAGGCGCACGTTCGAAGGCCGTTTTCCAGTCGCCGTGAGGGTGTTCATCGCTGTTTGACCACGAGCAGCCACCTCTACATCTTTTCGGAAAAGCGCTTTGCCACGGGCAAGGAACACTTGGCATTGCAGGGCTGGTGTTCCGACATGGGAGCAGTGCCCGCGAGCATCAGTGATCGAGAGCTGGCCGAGCTGGCAGGCGAAGGCATGCACCTGGCATGCTTGGCCAGTGTGCTTTGGTCTTTCTACCAGGTGGCCCATGAGATCCACCGGGGCACGAAGGTGTCGCCTTGAGCGGCTCGACAGTGACGTTACTACAACGTAACTACGACCAAGACTCAGGCTTGGCTCAGTGGAGGAGTGAAGCTGCAAGGGTTGCAGCTGCTGTTTTTTTTGCGGTG